GTGTTTTAAAATAGCAATATAAGTCTTCAGAATTTGTTTGCAATAGATTAAAATCCCCCAAAGAGAAAGGAACAAAGAGAACTCACCACCATTAAATCAAGTCTGATGAATAGTGACACTACAAAGTAAGTGGGTACTGAGACTGAAAATCTTTAAATCTTCTCCCATGACGTGGCCAGAAGCTTTGAACTTCTGAGCTTTGGGTTAGCAGCTCAATACATAGCTTGTAACAAGAAAGGGCCTTAAAATAGATAGATATAATTACCACATTGCTCAAAATATATATTAGAAATAAGTGGACCTCATGTTTCTAGAGAATCAAACCCTTTGTGGATAGGTGCTATTGTTCTATTGCTTCTAAAAGAGTCTTGTAGAATCAGGAGAACACTTAATTATCAATTTAGCCTAAATTAACTTTTAGAAAAATGATTGGGATATACTTCACATATTGTACAATTATAATAAGAATATTTGTGCAATCTTCATCACAATCCATTTCAGAATATTTCTTCCTTTGGAATGGGATTTGTAAAATGTTTTTTTCTAGATTAAGTTTTAAACACTCTGTTTTAGTAATTGTGTACCATCTGAAAAAACCTAAGTATACTAAGAATGCCCTGGTAATCCCCAAACTTCAGTTTGTAAATAACATTTCCTAGACACAGCTACTTATACACAGATGGAACATAAACATTCTTTGTCAAACCAAGAGACCTGAATTCTAAAGCTAAACATATGGATATGGTTTCAACAATAGAAGATTTCTGGAAGAAGATTTATATCCTTATGCATGCATGCTTAAATTTTATATTCACACCCTTATGTAATGCTTGGTGTATTATAATGTATCTAAAGGCATTTAAAATTTTTATTTACTGAACATGTTTATTAGACATTTTTATTTACTAAACATACATTTTGGGGAGAAAACCAGGACAGTATCTGCTGATCAATTGTAAGGTTATGATAAAATATGCATAACCCTCTGGTCTAGTAATTCTATTCCTAAGTCTAGATCATATAGATATGCCCATTGTTGTTTACACCATTTTCTGGCAAGATAGAAACATTGGGAAAATATTAATGTCTCCAAATAAGTATTTATTAAATTATCAAGTAACTACACAATGAAATATTATAAAGTTGACAGAAGGAAATGAGATAGAGATATATCTATCAACCAGCAAAGCAGACTGTGATGACGAGTCTTACATGTTGACATGGCTCAGTTAGAATACCATTCTTTAACCCAATACTAATTTAGACATTGTATGAATATGTCTTACAGATATGAATAACCTATGTAATCAGTCAATATTTTAATAATGAATATCATTGGTCAAAAGTGCTCAATTAGTGAAAACACACACCAATTCAACAATAGTCACATGTTCATTTGGAGATAGTAATTATATTATCTAAGTGGCACCATTCTCACTCTTCTTTTCCAGTGTATTCAGCAGAATCGTCACCGACTCACTATCCCCAAGCTTCTCAGCCAATCTTTCCAATAGCTTTGGTACATTTGATCACATACACATACATCTTTAAAAGAGTATTTTTATGCTCAAAGCAGATGTTCTTTTCTAATCAAGCTAAACTTTATCAGCTTGCACAAAGACTTATACTCTTAAAACTCTATAGCGTGCCCCTGTTAGTCAGCATCTACTCTACGGCAGTGACTGTATTGTTTGGTTTAAATAGGACTTCAGAGAATAATTTTGGATTATGGTTTAAAGATCATTTCCAACAAAAAAAAAGGATCATTTCCAGGCAATAATTATGGTGGTTCACTTTCCATCCATGCCTCCAGAAGTTATAAATTCCATGAGAATTATAACTTCAAAGTTACAATCCACATTTCTCCCCTTTGATCAGGATATATATATGAAATTATTGATTAAAATGTTCGATAATTATAAGCAAGCAGGTGCTATCTTGTTCTAGTCTAATGATAAATAAGGCAATTATTTGTTCAAGGAGGTAAGTAGACAGGTGTTCTAAATGCTCTTCAGAAGACTGGCTTTCCTGTTATTCCATTTCTCCAGAAAAAATAATCACCAATTGTTGTGCTTGGATAGTTACTCAAAGGCTTATGACTCCATGTCTTACACAATGAACTACAAGGTAGAACAAAAACCCTGAAACATCATGTCCCATTAAACCGTGTCTCTAGACCTTTAAGTCCGGAAGACAAATATATGCGGTGTTTAGTTGCACTTGAGAAGTTTCAGTAGCTTCTCTTGGTTGTTGTTATTATTATAAAAGTATATAACACAGTATTTTCCAATTCAACTAATTTTAGGTGAGCAACCTGTGAAATAAACTACACTAATCATGTTGTGCAGCCCGTACCCTTAATTGAGGCCAAATTTCCCATTACTATAACCAGAAACTCACTGCTTCCCAATATATAAATACTCCCTTTCTCTTATCTCTTTCCATTGGTTATCACAAATAAGCCCTGCTTCATATTCATATGCCTAATTTTATCTTGTCAAATAAATGAAATAATGCAATGTTTGTTTTTTTGATTGACCATTTCATTCAACATAATGTTTCTGATGTTTATCCATGTGTTTGCTTGCTTCAAGACAATTCCCATTATAACCGAGTAGTCTTTCTTTTATGTATATATTCCATTACATTTTCCCATTTCTTTATTAGTGGACATATAGATTGCTTCCAATAGTTAGCTATTGTGAATTGTGCTGCACTGCATATTGATGTACAGCTGTTTACTTTTAAGTCCCTTAGTTTTATAACTTGAGTAGGATTGTTGGTCGTATGGTAGTTCTAGTTGTAATGCTTTCAAGAATAATCCAACTGTTTTCCACAACAGCTGTGCCATTCTCCTTTCCCACCAGCAATGCATAAAGGTTCTGATTTTCCCATTTCCTCAGCAACATTTGTTATTTTCTTTTTTGTTATCCTAGCTATCCTACTGGGAGGGGAGTGGTATATAACTGTGGTTTTGATGTACATCTCTCTAATGACTAAACGAGGGCTTCCGCATAGTTCTTCCTCAGCTTAGTTCTTCCACGTTTAGTCATGGCTAATTAAGCAAAATCAGAATAGACTCTGATTTGTAAAATATGAATACACCCTAATAATACTGGAACAGGAATAATAAAGTGATGTTATTCTCCTAGAAATTGAATATCCTCTGAGAAAACCAAAGCAATACATGCATTACATAAAAACCACATCTCTTGACTCACAGAGTCAGACACCGTGGTGCCCAGCTTAAAGATGACAGCTGAATGTATGTTACGCCCCACAGTTCTGGCAATAATTCAGAATCCCTTAGCAGGCTCATGTAAGTCTACTCTTCCTGGACTGTAGGTTTTTCCCGGTTTGATTATTGTGAATACACTCATTTAACACGGCTCAGTTCTATTCACTTTGATGCGTGGCTTTGAGAGAATCAGTTAGAACCAATTTGAAACCCTGAACTAAAGATATAGATTATCTTTTCATGTGTGAGTGGGCTTCAGAAAATTCATAGAAAAAGCCCATTTAAAAAAATTCAATTTTCCATGAGCTTTTTTAAAACTCTTTTATTTTTTGTCTGTTTGAATACAATCTTTGGTAAAAGCACTGTTCAAATCATTTGCACATTCCAACAATGTCTTTTGAGTGTTTAATTGGACATGTTTTGTACACATTGTGAATATAAGAACCGTATTGGAAATATCCAACACCAAGCTCACTGCCATCAAGTCAATGTTGACTCATAGCAACCATGCAAGACAGAGTAGAACTGCCCTGTGCATTTCCAGGACGGGAAATCTTTACAGGAGCAGAAAGCCTCCTCTTTCCTGGGCCAGTTCGTGGCTTTGAGCTGCTAACTCTGAGGTTAGCCACCCTACATATAACCCACTCTGCTACCAGGGCTCCCCAGTGGGTAAATCGTTCCTGAAAAATTTCTCCCAATCTGTAGATTGTTTTTTACTCCTCTGAGAAAGTCTCTTAATGAAGAAACTCTTAATTTTTTTGAGTTCCACTTTTCTTACGTTATCTTTTGCAGCTCATGCGTTTGTTAGTATACCAGGTAACCTTTCCGTAAAAAATTAGACTGACAGCTACACCCCTATATTTTCTTTCAAGAACTTTATGGTTTTGGTTTTTAAATATAAGTTCTTTACAATTTTAAAATGTTTCTTATATATAGGGTAAAAAATGACTCATATGTGGGAATTTATAGTAACTTTCCAAGGACCATGTACTGAAGAGGCACTTCCTTACCAAATCAAATGGTGTTAGCACCCTTGGCAAAACTCAGTTAGAGATGTGTGTAGGACTCACTGCCATGAAGACAATGCCCATTCATGTCAACCCGATAGGACAGTAGACCTACCCGTATGCTTTTCCAAGACTGTTACTCTTTAGGAAGTAGAAATCCCAGTCTTTCTCCCGCAGAGCATGTGGTTTCAAACTGCTTACCTTGCGGATCACAGCCTAACACTTAACCACTATGCCACCAGGGTTCCATACAGATACGTGAAATTGTAGAAATTAATCTGATGGACTAACCAAAATACAGGCATTTTATTCTTTTACATTTTGATGGCTAATATGTCTTTGAAAAATCCAGATGGCAGAGATACTTAATTTGGGGGAGTAATTGTAGAAAATTCCACAGTAGCTTTCCTCCATTTCCCAAGAATAAGTCTTTCTCCCCTAACGTTGGCTCTCTCTCCTTTCCCTTTTATCTAGTTTCTCTCATTTTTCTCTTAGTGCTTCTCTTTTTGCCTAGAGTTTTTGTCTTATTGTTTATCTTTATTTTGTCTTATTTTTTTTAAAGGTATAAAAACGTGATCGATGGAACAGTAGATACACAACTTGAAGAGGAACAAGTCAGTGCATCGCGCCATGAGACTACCTTTCCCACCCGCCCCACCCATAGCCACCAGTCTCTGCAAGGACACCACTGGCCGCCAGGGCCCTGACCAGGTACCTGGGAGTCCTCAGGGTTGTGGAGTCCTTGGCAGCAGAACTCAAGTCTCCCCAAACATTGCTGGGTGAGGCACTCCGGGTGCCGAAGGCAGCTGCAGGGGCTGGAGCTGTATCACTGGAGACAGATTCACACGGAGGATACGCTGAGTCTGCTGTCGCACCTCATCATCCGAGGACCACCGGTCAACCTTGATGGCCCAGAATTTCAGAGGCTTTGCTATGCGAGGACCAAGTCGTGCCTTAGGGGAGCGGGGCCCAAGCTGTGTTCTCTTACAGGGAAGCAGCTCCTTTGCCTCCTGGGCCCTTTTCCTCTTCTGTCCCACAGCCTCAGGGGGGTTTCTCTGACACCTTTGCACAGTCTGGGCCTGAACAGACCCCTTGGGCTTGCCTCTGCTCTCAAGCTGAGTCTGGATCACCCTGGCCTTGGTTTTGATCTTCACCGCCTTGGCCTTGACCTGTGCCACCTTGGCCTTGGCCCGTGCTGCCTTGGCCTTGATTTGTGCCGCCTTGGCTTTGGTCTGTACCGCCTTGGCCTTGCCCTTAGCTCTGGCTTGAGCGGCCTTGGCTTTGGCCCGGGCCTTAGTCACCTTAGCCTGGGATGGCTTGGCCTTTTTCTGAGCCACCTTGGCTGAGGGAGTCTTAGGCTGTGGCCGGGACACCTTGGCCTGGGCACAAACAACTTTGGCCAGTGCTTGAGCGGCTTTGGCCTGGGCTGTCTTGGTGCCCAGGGCAGATCCCCCTTTCATTCGTAGACCACTGAGGGATTCAGTGACCTTGCAGGTCTTACTCTGGGGAACAGTGCCCCATCGGGGACCTGCCTTGGGGCGTTTGAAAGGCGTCTGTTAGGTTCCATCAAGGATAACCTCTTAAAGAGTTGCTTTTATGCTTTGTGATAGCACTGATGACCTCTTTATATGTGTTCTCTAAACAAGCAAGTAGAATTGTACTTGAACAAAAGATTCTGTGTATTCAGCTCCTGATAGGCTTTCACAAATGCCACACAAGTAATGTTGCTCATCTTTCAAGAGTTCAACCAGTCAGATAGGCTACATGCTGAATCATCTGTTCACAACTATTTGCAAATCTATTCTTGAAAAACATAAACCATTATCTGTATAATTATGTTATGTTATAAACTTTCATTTTAAGATAGAAACATGTGCAATACTCTATAAATCATTATTATTTATGATAGCAATAATAGCATTGCTAGTCAATGATAACATAACAATAATGACTGTTTTTCCTTTGCAACTTATAATGACTCATTCAATCTTCCGAATAGCTAATAAATATTGATAAAATACGAGTTAAGTTAGTCTACTATCAAAAAGTGTTGCATAAATATACAGTGATCATGCAACTATTTTAATACTTTTTTCACATGTTAATGAATAGTGAACTATTTTTTTAAACTGACCTCAATTTTAATTTTAAAAATTACATTTAGAGGATTTTATCTTGTTGGCTCAATTTTAACTTTATATTTTCTATGTGAGTAAGGACAAAATTAAAAATTAGTTTCATACTTAAATGCAGTGGATTATAATTAAATTTCACACTTTGGAGTTTGGGACATAACTGTTACTGAAAAGTACATTATTATAATTATATACTAAATGGTGATATTTTTATTCCTAGTTTGCTCTACTCTAAGCTAATCATTTTGTCCTACTTTCCATGTTCTCATGTCTGTGTGATGGTCTCAAAATGTTTTCTTGAATCAGTGAACCAGTGGTCACTAAAGTACTTGAAACATACTGGTAACTGAAACCCACCATTCATTCAATAAACATTATTTGAATCGTTGGCAAAGTTAAACATAGACAATGTCAAGAATTTAACAATCAGGAGAAAGAGGAAGAGTTGGGTAAAATGATGCTGATAGAAATCGGATTGGAATCCTTTCTGTCAAAGGTGACCACATTTCGCTCCCCCCTGAACTACTATCAAACCCACTATTTGTCACCTGACATCCTTTCTTTTGTCTTTCCTTCTGCATTCTTACATTTCTTTTCCCTTGAATAGATCTAGCTATTCTTTCAGGAGTTGAGCATTCAGGGAGTCTATATGGCATATAACTGAAGAAAAATACAGGAGACACATTAAGTGATTTCAATTTGTTATTCGTGATTATTCATAATGTAATGGTTAAGTGTGAAGGTTTGGGGACTCAGAATACCCAGGTCCAAATTCCGTCTGCACCAGTACCTCTTTGGATGATCATGGAAATTCACACCCTGTCTTTATCTCCTTCTCCTCTGATTCTTTTGTTACTTCATTGCATTATGTCTGTTTTCTTATTGTTAGTATAGGCCACTGTCAATCCAAAGTGTAGCAAGATTATCATTTGGAACCTCATTTTTATTTGTACCCATAAAATTAATACATTAATAGTAAAACCTGAGTCAAAATTCATCTCTAGGGTTGTCACGCAGTACAACAATGACCTCACCCCACCCAGGGCTTGCTCTTATCTCAGACAAAACATAGGGCATATCTGGTTAATATAATTGTAAAATGCTGAAATGTAGTATTTCTCTTTTGTTGATGAAATGCTGAGGTTTATGAAAAATAGGTTAAGTGAAGTTAGAAGCACAGAGCTCCTGTAAAGGTCTGATAATATATAGAATACTATCTGATCATATAGAAAATAAGATATTCTTTAAAATAAGATGACAAGAACAAGGCCCACTGTTCTGATACTATGTATATTATTTAACAAATTATTTGCATGATCCTGACCTCATATGATTATTTGTCTTCTCCTTTAGCATTCTATGTATTTTCAAATTTTCATGTCTTGCTTTGCCTTCCTTGGTATTGTTTTACTTTTCAGCTGGATCTGACCATTAATTCCAGTAGAACTCATGGATGATGCCCACAATTGTTGGATACATTAAAGATGTTAACAGTTAAAGTCATGCGAGAACTGCTCAAGGTGTAGTTATTCAATCAGGCTGGTTTCTTCTTTGCAATATCCTCAGGCAAGCCTCTCTCTGGCCCTCAGCCTCTTGCCTCTTTTCAGAGATTGGGCAGTGTTACAAACCACTTTTGGGGTGCTGATAAATGCCCAAAGGGCATCTCATTCCACCATAAACTTCAATCAGAATGCATTAAGCTGTAATTCCTCCAACTAAGTACCTGGAGACACCCCAATCCACAGGCCAGCCTCCTGCCCAAAGCACTCAGGTTTACTAGCTCTGTGGGATAAATGCAACATTTCTTAGATTATATGAATACTAATGATAATATTATTTTAAATTATGTGTTAGTTACACTATTAGTACTAATATTATTAGCAAAGTCTTTTATTTTTCTCCTCTTTCTTCAAATATTGCTTCATTCTCCAAAAATTTTTTGACATGAGTTCATAAATACTACTTACAATGTTAGAAAATTTGACCAGGTCAGGCACTACGAAAACACTGATAGCAATGAAAAACACAGTGCTCGCTTATAGCATTTCCAGAAGAAAGTGTGTGATTTGAAGTGTCACTATAATTGGGTGATAATGACAGCTCTCATCAGTTAGAGTGCACCAGGAGGTTCACAAAGTAAATTGGCATACTAAATTGTACCTCATAAATCCATAGAATAAATTGACATAGTAAATATATTATTCACATCAGCTGGACTTACAAAAATGTTTTTGTTGTTAAAACTGGTACATAGATATGTCTCTAACAAGCAGTTCATTTATGCTTCACAGCACAAAAATTGATGGACAGTCATTTTACTGTCACCCTCTTTGACAGTGTCCCTTAGTGCAGTCTACACATCCCATACCTTCCTAATGAGGCCACTGCAATAGCACTATTACTCAGTTTAAACAAGCAACTAGATATGAAATCCTTGGTAAAATCTTTAGAAAATGAGAAGTTGTAAAAAAAGAAATGGAAATATGCTGATGGTCACAGAGTAGTTGCTCGATTAACATTACTCTAAGTTGTATCTCCTACACATCGGTCAGTTTGTCATACTGTGTGGCTTATGGATTGCTGCAAGGCTAAGGGCTGTGCTACAAGTGTTTCAAATGCCAGCAGAGTCGCCCATGGTGCATGATTTTCAGCGGAGCTTCTAGACTAAGAATAGCTAGAAAGAAGGAATAAGCGGTCCACTTCTGAGGAATTAGTCCCAGAAAACCTTATGAATAGCGGTGGAACACTGTCCAATGTAGTGTTAGAAGGTGTGCCACTCACGCTGAAAGGTTCCCAAAAGGCCCTAGGGAAGGACATCCCCTCAACGAAGAGTCCTGTGAATGACATGGAGGAAACCAATCATGGAGGATCTTTCTTTGCTGATGTCGTCTGCCAAACAACGAAGAACGAGCTGTGACTGCCGACGCCCGTCAATAATATAACCTGGATTATATGTACTGTGGATCTAGGAACTTTGGAAGTTGTCCAAAAAGGAATGGAATACAGGTTGATATCCTAGGTTTCAATGATCTGACATTAGTATTTGAGTCAGATCATCACCATGGCAAAAATGACTATTTCAAGGGAAATGGCATCAAATTCATTGTCAAAAAGAAGGCATTTCAAGATCTATCTTGCACTATAATTCTGTCTGGAATACAGCTATTCTTCAAATTTAGGCAACAACCACTAAACTAAAGCCAATGATGAAGAAATTGAAGAATTCTACCAATTTTTACAGTCTAAAATTGATCAAACATACAATCAAGAGGTATTAAGAATGAAAATGTTAAAGTTGTAAACAAAAAGAAGGGATCAATGGCTACAAAATATGGTGTTGGTGATAGAAATGAAGGTGCAGATCCTGTTATTGGATTTTGGACTACCAGTGACCATTCTTTTCAAATGGCGCTTATACATTTGGACTCCACCAGAGGGATTACATAGTAACCAAACTGATTATATTATTATATTATAATATTGGAAAGAGACCATAGAGAAGCTCAATACCATAGGCCAAAACTATGGAACAATTGCTCATGTGCGAATTGAGGCTGAATCTGAAGAAATTTAAAGCAAGTTCACGAGAGCCAAACGAAGACCTTGAGTCCATTCCTCCCACAGTTCAAGGCCTTCTTGCATGCAGACGGCACACTGAACACTGACGGCCAGATCCCAGCAGAGCTGTGGGATATCACTAAGAACACCAATGAGGGCAGCGAATGTACAAATGCGCTTTACACAACTGATGTATGTATGGATTGTGATGAGTTGTAGGAGCCCCTAATAAAATGATTAAAAGAAAAAAAAGAATACAAAACATGAAGAAAGCAACAAGTCATTAAAATGAGAGGAAAGAAAGAAAAAAGTCAGCGTCAGAAGACACTCTTAAACTTGCTCTTGAATGTAAAGCACCTCGAGTGATGAGAAGATATTAGGAAGTAAAAGAGCAGAACAGACAATTTCTAAGAGTAGCTTGTGAATGGAAGGTGAATTACTGCTCTGAAGGCTGCAAAGCCCTGGCCTTGGAGAACAACATTGGAAAGAACATGCTCCAGATTTCTAAAGTTGAAAAAAGAACTGAACAAATCGTAAAACTTTTGTTTTATAATATTGAAAGTTACCATGGGCAAAACATAGGACAATATAGGAAGCACCAAAAGAGGATTGAAGGAATTCGCAGTCACTAAAAAACAGAATTGGTCCACAGTCAGCCAATTTAAGAGGTACCATATAAGTATGAAACAATCATGGATGGAAGATGTTTAAGCTGAAGTGAAGGCATTGGTGAAAAGAAAAAAAACAATGGCTCCAGGGCTTGATGGAATACCAACTGAAACGTTTCAACAAACTGATGCAAAGTTGAAAGCACTCACTGGTCTGAAAAGAAAATTGGAAGACAGCTACCTTGACCATCT